GGGATTGATAAATATGTGACATGTTATCAAATCCTTGAGAGATTTGTTAATATGTGACAGTTTATCATATCTGTGACGGATTGATAAATGTTTGGCAGGTTATCATATGTGTGACTTAGTTAAATCTGTGATGGATCGATAAATCTATGACAGTTGATCATATGTGTGGGATAGTTAAATCTGTGACAGGTTATAAAATCTGTGTGGAATTTTTAATCTATAACAAATCACTCTGCATTAATGTGACAAGTACCTATAGCCAGCCTGGTAATGTCCACTGTAGCGGCAAATACCTCAGTGTTTAGAACAGTTTTGGAGTGTCAACCAAGCTGTACAAGTGGGAGCTGTTGAGGGTTGTGATATTTCAAATGCCAGGGTATGGTGGATCAGGGTAAGGTAGCCAAGCTGTGAGGATATTTACTGCGTGTATGCTAGAGAATTACGCTCAGCATACGTCAATGGTGCCGAGCTGTATTCGCATCAGGGATCAGGTTTTGGCAATACTGGGATACACTCCACATTGTGCGGACACCTGGCCCGGTGTGAGTGTTACGGAAGTATTATAGCTTTAAACACATCTCTGTATGACCAACCTGCTCGCAGGCATACACACACTGTCTGGTGATAGTTCCTGGAAATTCTGCTGGTATTCTTTGTGGTGAATGGCTGCTTGTTTTATGGCAGGGGAATTTTGTTCTTGTGGATCTTGGTGAGTACTTGCTGTAAGAAAATGTGATATGCTTGAAATTATCTCATCTTTTTGCCCGGTTGCCTGATTTATTACAGTTTTATGTCCTGAATGTTTGTGATGTTTTTAGAAATGCTATGTTTCATCCACGCTGTATATTGTAAGAGAGCATGTATTAACTTCAGGGGGAAAAGAATGACAGGGTTACAGACACTCCATTCTTGTGTTTTCAGGTTACAAATTTGTTCATCGTTGTCACATCATTAGTAATCTTGTCATTTAGTTGGTTGATTTTAGACCTGTTCACTTGAACAGGTAAACCTGTTGGGCTAGTTGAATAATTCAAATAAGTCGCTAGTTACCTGCAAGTGAGAAACTGGTTAAAATAAGTGTCAGCTGTGCATAAAACCTAACTGTCCAAAATGTATCTTGATATGTGTCGTCATTTCATTAGAATGACAAATGGTGCAATTGTTTTAATATTCCACCACAGGTATACATAAATATGAAAAAAATATAATAAAATTGACCCAGGTATCTAAAAAGGATTTAGCCTAGTAGGATATGTGGGAGAATAGTTCTGTTTTTTCCCCGTGTGGGAAATGTGTGTCAGTTATTTATATGGCTGTATTCCTGTAATTCTACAGACATATTGACCTAGCTTGCTGACAGATTTCTGTCATATAACTGTCAGAATGTGGTTTGAATCAGGTTTCTGGGTTTGAATCCCAGATTTGCCAATATCTGTCAGCAAGAAAACATCAAATCTGTACCACCTGATGACCTTATCTACTTTGGATTTCACTACTTTTATAGGTATCCATTCATCTCCCAAAATACTACAGCTTTGTAATGACGGCCACTGTCTCCCTTTTGTCTGAAAATGCTAGTCTGCATCAATCTTTTGTCCAGTGTGTGAATGACTTCTACTTGTATGAAGCAATAAATGTTTAACTTCTTTAAGTGGCATTTAGAGTGAGTGAGTGAGTTTAGTTTTACGCTGCACTCAGCAATATTCCAGCTATATGGCGGTGGTCTGTAAATAATCAAGTCTGGAACAGACAGTCCAGTGATCAACAGCATGAGCATCGATCTGTGCAGTTGGGAACCGATGACATGTGTCAACCAAATCAGCGAGCCTGACCACCCGATCACGTTAGTCACCTCTTATGACAAGCATGGGTTACTGAAGGCCAATATTCTAACCTGGACCTTCACGGGTCAAGTGGCATTTAGAAGCTGGTATGATGAGGAGCAACGCTTTGTATGGATAGGCAAATTCTTTATTGCAATAGATACGTTTCAGTATAGATCCTAACACTGTTATCAGTGTTTAAAGCTCATAAAATTCCAAGCCAGACAGCCGGACTGGTAACAGTCCGGATACAAACTTGCCTGTCCGGTTTTCAACAATAAACTGAAATTACACGTGTTGTGATTGGTTATCGTAACATGAACTGTCCAATCGTAAGTAGTTTAACATAATTTTCATAATGCCTCAAACACCTCAAACTGACCACAACAGATAATGTCTGATATTATGAAATATTTACTGTTAGGGGTAAAAATATCTACCAGACCACCGGACAGGCTACTTTTGAAATTTGACCGTCCGAGATGAAAATAAACTGTTCCGGACGGTCGGGCAGGCGGGAATTTTAAACGCTGCTGTTATCACCATTTGCTTGATAATGGTGTTCGGATGTACACCGAAATGTCACATCTATTGCAATCAAGAATTTGTTTATCCATAAAAAGTGTTCCTCCTCAATAAATGTTTAGTAAATATATCATCGATATGAATAGCTTAGTTACGTGATATCATGAGATTATATGAGCAGCAGAAACTTTACTCTAATTACATGCATTGTTACACAACAAATCTGACAAACTTCCTGTGTTATTGTTCATTAGGGTATAATCACTGTCTGGATTATACACTGAAGACACAAAGGATTGGATACGCATCACTAATTCCTGTCCAGTGGTGTGCAGTCATTAGTGGGTTTTATCATTGCATCAGTTGCTGTCCTTGGAGGTGGACCACTACAGCTGGTGGTCACACATCAGTTGGAATTGGTCAAGGCATAGGAGTGTCCCACCAACCATCCAGTAGTCAGTCACAGTAGAGTCAGTGTATGGAGGCTGGTTGTTGTGGAGCTTGTCTGGCTACTGTAGTGTATTAACCAACTCTTTCGTACAAGGCAGTGGAAGGCAACATTTTCTTGTGGAGCTTGTCCAGGTACTGTAATGTGTTAACTCTTTAGTACAAGGCAGTGGAAGGCAACATTTTCTTGTGGAGCTTGTCCAGGTATTGTAGTGTATTAACCAACTCTTTAGTACAGACAGTGAAAGGCAACATTTTCTTGTGGAGCTTGTCCAGGTATTGTAGTGTATTAACCAACTCTTTAGTACAGGCAGTGAAAGGCAACATTTTCTTGTGTAGCTTGTCCAGGTACTGTAATGTATTAACCAACTCTTTAGTACAAGGCAGTGGAAGGCAACATTTTCTTGTGGAGCTTGTCAAGGTACTGTAATGTATTGTGAAGTGCATCCAGCAACTGCTGAGCTTGTCAAGGTACTTTAGTGTGTAGGCCAATGCTTAGTCTCTGAATATACATAATTTTGATAGTAACAAATAAACCCATTTAAACTGAAAGGAGCCCTAGTGAGTTGGGAGATTCTGAACCTGAGGAAATCTAGACTTGCTTTACTTTGGGCTTTAACATTGCAGGGGGGGCAAGGTAGTAGGTAAAATAAAGTGGTTCAGGGACTGTGACACAGACTATGTAGTGTATTAAGGAAGTTACAGTGGCTGTGAAGGAAAGGCTCTAATGTGAGACATGTGTAGTCAGAGGATCCGATGTCCTGAAGACTAGGATCCTCCTGATGGACTTATGTTTGAATGTGTCAAGTAAATTGGACTAGCTTGTTTGGGAGAGGAACTTTGTGAGTGGAATCATTGATTCAGTTCTGTTTAATTTAGTTCAATTGTGGTTTGGAGATTGGAAGCAGGTGGTGTTTTGAGTCTAATTTGGTACAGAATGTGGTGTGTGGGATTGATTTTTGATGCTTCTTGTTCATTATGGGTTACGTGATATTTTCTGAATAGATATAGCATCATAGTAAACAGTAAATAATTATCATTCTTATGGTCACTGTTAAGTTCAAATTAGCCTAAATGTTTGATCGCTTAACACATGTGGTATTTTCTTGAATAATGGAATTCTTTTAGGAATACATGATATGCAATTAACTATTTTATGATGTTAAAAGATTATCCTCATGAGTGACCAACCCGTGAAGATCCGGGTTAGAATTGATCTTCAGCAACCCATGCTTGTCGCAAAAGGTGACTAATGGGATCAGGTGGTCAGGCTCGCTGACTTGGTTGACACTTGTCATCGTATCCCAATTGCGCAGATCGATGTTCATGCTGTTGATCATTGAATTGTCTGGTCCAAACTAGTAAAACTAAACTAACTAACTCACTCACTCATGAGTTGCCTGAGTTCCCAGTTGAACAGGTCTATGCTATTTCTGGCTGAAGTAGATTTCGCTGTAAGAGCAGGATTTCTATTTTAACTCACCCATTCCATCAGTGATGAACACTGGAATTGTCAATCCAGGTCTAGAGCCAGTGCAAGACCTATGTTCTTGTGGCATCAAGCTCCTTTAATTGTCACGTCACTAGTGTTTAACATTGCTTTCACTCTCAATTGTATAACTGTTATCTGTGGTGATATTGTTACAATGATATGAGCAGTTGAGGGAATTATATTCTTTCGGAGGAATAAATATGAATTTGTTAGTGTGGTTTTAAAGTATTGCTTAGGAGAAGAATGGCATGCCTTTATATCCTATTGTGTGTTAAGATTAGTGTTGTGCACAAGTAATTAAGACTGAGTATATTTCCACCGACTTTTCAACATCTTACATTGTTGTTTGAAGGAAAGACAGAAAATACAGACAGCATTTGTCTACTGAAAAATGTAACAAATTAGAAATAGAAGTGTTTTCATTAACAGCTGTCATTACAGAATTTTAGTGATTCATTCATACAACTCTCTGTATTTTTTAGTATAATTTCCATTACACTTGAAACACTAGGGGCTTGGTATGATGGAATGTATGTAACTTCCTAATATTGTTTTGCATGTGCTTTGTTGTTTCAAGATAAACTGAGGTCATTTTGAGTTGAGCGTGGAAATTGAGATATCTCCTGAAACAACAAAGTTCAAAGTGTTCAATTCTAAACTATTTCAAGGATGCTTGTGACATTTTGTTTATGGTGATGTGCTTTTGTCTGCAGATGCTGATAATGCAGTGAGGATATTCGCATCCCCTGGAGCAGGCATTCTGTCACAGACGCTACATCTACAGTCTGCATTGTCCGAGCCTGACCACCATCACAAGGTAGGGTGTATACAGAGTGTAGACCATCACAGACACTACCGTCAGTGCCTGAACCTTCATACACACAAGGTAGGGTGTATACAGAGTGTAGACCATCACAGACACTACCATCAGTGCCTGAACCTTCACACACACAAGGTAGGGTGTATACAGAGTGTAGACCATCACAGACACTACCATCAGTGCCTGAACCTTCACACACACAAGGTACGGTGTATACAGAGTGTAGACCATCACAGACACTACCGTCAGTGCCTGAACCTTCACACACACAAGGTAGGGTGTATACAGAGTGTAGACCATCACAGACACTACCATCAGTGCCTGAACCTTCACACACACAAGGTAGGGTGTATACAGAGTGTAGACCATCACAGACACTACCATCAGTGCCTGAACCTTCATACACACAAGGTAGGGTGTATACAGAGTGTAGACCATCACAGACACTACCGTCAGTGCCTGAACCTTCACACACACAAGGTAGGGTGTATACAGAGTGTAGACCATCACAGACACTACCATCAGTGCCTGAACCTTCACACACACACAAGGTAGGGTGTATACAGAGAGTAGACCATCACAGACACTACCGTCAGTGCCTGAACCTTCACACACACAAGGTAGGGTGTGTACAGAGTGTAGACCATCACAGACACTACCGTCAGTGCCTGAACCTTCATACACACAAGGTAGGGTGTATACAGGGTGTAGACCATCACAGACACTACCATCAGTGCCTGAACCTTCATACACACAAGGTAGGGTGTACACAGAGTGTAGACCATCACAGACACTACCGTCAGTGCCTGAACCTTCACACACACAAGGTAGGGTGTATACAGAGTGTAGACCATCACAGACACTACCGTCAGTGCCTGAACCTTCACACACACAAGGTAGGGTGTATACAGAGTGTAGACCATCACAGACACTACCGTCAGTGCCTGAACCTTCACACACACAAGGTAGGGTGTGTACAGGAGACCATCACAGACACTACCGTCAGTGCCTGAACCTTCACACACACAAGGTAGGGTGTATACAGAGTGTAGACCATCACAGACACTACCATCAGTGCCTGAACCTTCACACACACAAGGTAGGGTGTATACAGAGTGTAGACCATCACAGACACTACCATCAGTGCCTGAACCTTCACACACACACACAAGGTAGGAACCGTCCTTACACACAAGGTGTATACAGAGTGTAGACCATCACAGACACTACCGTCAGTGCCTGAACCTTCACACACACAAGGTAGGGTGTATACAGAGTGTAGACCATTACAGACACTACCATCAGTGCCTGAACCTTCACACACACAAGGTAGGGTGTATACAGAGTGTAGACCATTACAGACACTACCGTCAGTGCCTGAACTTTCACACACACAGATTGGGGGATTAGACAGAATTCTAAAATAAGAATGTGTCCATTGTGTGTTGGAATTATCATGACATTTATTGTTTCAGGAACAAGAGTCGCTGCCACCGTCTTTTTGTCGGACATTCCATGGAGCTACTGGTGAGCGATCTTCCACCAATCTTTTCTTGTCACTGTTTTTAACTTTAACTCTGTTAACCAATCAGGAATAGGATGCATGATATCCCATACCTTTATCAGACTTCCTCCTGGACCAATCAGACAAAAGAGGCTAGTGTGCATGATATCCCATACCTTTATCTGACTGCCTCCTTGAACCAATCAGACAAAAGAGGCTAGTGTGCATGATATCCCATACCTTTATCAGACTTCCTCCTTGAACCAATCAGACAAAAGAGGCTAGTGTGCATGATATCCCATACCTTTATCAGACTGCCTCCTGGACCAATCAGACAAAAGAGGCTAGTGTGCATGATATCCCATACCTTTATCAGACTGCCTCCTTGAACCAAGGCTAGTGTGACAAAATCTGACTGCCTCCTTGAACCAATCAGACACCTTTAAAATGGATAATATGCATGATATCTCATACTTCCTTCTGACCAACCAGACAAAAGAGGCTAGTGTGCATGCCTCTTGATCAGACTATGTCACTGCCTTATATGCATGATTTATTTTAACTATGTTTAATATCTGTAACAGACAGTATCAGACAGCAGAAATTAAACGACAAATTTCATTTTGTTAGGATGACTAGTTTTCAGCTTGAGCATGACAAATTAGATCTAGGTATTTAGTATCCCATAATTCTCTGAATTCACTGAATAAATAATTGTTTATGTGTGTGATAGATTCTGACTATGAGATATGATGTCCATAAACCATGGCTTTGATAATGTCCCCTTAATCTGCAGCAGATTTGACATAATGGTCATATCGAATCTGTTATTTATGTACTGAAGACCAATGATTAAGACCCATATTCACCCAGATAGTGACATGTCACAATCATAATTCATGGCTATGTTATGCTGTGATTGGTCAGCATATAAATCCAAATTGCTCATTACTTGCTGGGCAGTAATTACCACTGCTGGAATGGAACGGTCACTATCATAGGCATGTTTGGCCAGAGAGAGAGACAGAAGCTAGTATGACTGCAGCTTTCTGGATGGGTGCAGTGTATGACTTGTCAATTTTTGTTTAATAAGAATGTTGAAAGTGTATTGCCAAATAAGTTATATATAATGTTCTAAAAGATCAATTTTTTAAGTGTCCAATATATATATTTTTAGTATGCAAAACAAAGTACACCATCTGCAGCTCTATCTGGTTAGAAGAAGACTACTTTACCCACAATGCAGTCATGACTGTTTTGTGGGGGGAGTTGTTTTCACAGTATTGGGGGTCATGGAATATCAAGGATGTTTGTATGAAAATATTTCAATATTCATTATATTGCAACAGAGGAAATGTGATGAAAGATATGGAAGCCTTTTTACCAGTAAACTATCAAAGATATCTTTGTGGAAATAACAAATTCTGAAAAAAATGTGTGGACACCAAGAATCCGACAGTAATTGGAGTCAGGTCATGTTTTTAGTACAATAAAGGATAAACAAACCCCACATCTTCTATATATATATTCTTTTGAAGATTTTACATATAAGCCATGTTGTTTTGAGACCTCCTACAGCCTTTTGAAGTGTTTTTCCCCAGTTTGTGGTGCCTCCTATTGGCGTCTTCTAAATCGGTACATTCTCTTACTTGGTCATCATGCATATAGATATAAGCTGTAAGGAATATAGTATATTTTCCTAAATCAGATGGAGACATAGCCTTCTTGTTTCTCTGACTCACTGGTGTAGAACTAAGTTGTTTGTGTGCTGTGCTGGCTGGAGGGGAGCTCTGTTTTTCACCTAGGTTGGTATTGATCATATTAGTCTGGTACTGCTGGCGGCCATGTCCTAATGTCCTCACTCACTTCACGAGTCCTCTCGCTGTCTTCTTTCGGCAAGGAGCTCGCTAGTTTAGCTCATTTATTTACCCAGACGTGTTCAGACCCTATAACCTAGGGCAGAAACACCAGGACATATTCTTAGAAACATTTTCTTGTGGTTCTGAAGAGGAACACAATGTAGTAGGGTTATGAATGGTATTTTTCACATCTGGAGGGCTTTCTTGGATTATAACTTTGGATAGGCTATTCTAATGACTGACAATTTCCCATTGGCTAGTAATATAACCAAGGTGTGAATATGGTATGGCACTGACAGAAATCAGGATTGGTAAGTATTCAGTTTGACAGATTCCACTATATTACAACATACAGTGAAGATGTATTCTATACTAGTGGCAAAGGGACTGTTACTAATATTTAGTCCATGAAATAAAGTGATATCTATGAAATAAAACGTAATGGAACCCTCAACAATGCTTACTTTCTGAGATGAGTTAGTCAGGAACATTTTTTACTGTTGTAGAGTGTTTTTGTTTTGTTTTTAAATTAAAAGTCTTTCAGATTATATTGTCAAAGAAATTAAAAGTGACGCTATATTTTTTATGTCTTTTTATTTTCTTTATACATCATACATGTACAGCATTTATTGAAGAATTATTCAATACCAAACTAGCCACTTTTCTTTAGACCCCAGTTAGAAGATAAAGCTATTCTGTTTTCAATTTTGTGGTCCTTTATCGTTGATTTAAGACCGCTAAATGTAATTTAAAAACCGAATGTCATGCTAGAATAAGCATTTAGACAATATGTACGTACATAGAAGATTGTTAGAAGATTGATCAATTAATCAATTAATCAAGCCACATACCGTACATATTGTTGCAGTTAAACTAATGCTTCAGTTATAACAGTGACGTTGACATTACTACTCCAGCCACAAATTCAAAGCTGTGTTATAACAATGTCCTTCGTAAGAAGAATATGCATGAGAGGTGTAATGAATTTGTGACAATTGAAATCTCAGCGCTGACAGGTCTACAAGACATTTGTTCTCTGTAGCAGACATTTGTTTCTTAACATAGAACTTTTTCTATAAATACACTCCAACCTACGCAAGCAGCATGATGGCAGATTTAGTGAGTAGCGTTGAAGACAGGTGTTGCTTCTGACACATGTACTCACCTGTCTTAACGAGACAGGTGTAGATCTCAGGTGTCACTAATGTGATATATCTCTTTGATATAAGGTTACTAGTGATAAAGTGTATAGGTGAACATTTTGCATAGTCATTGTTACTGCAGCAGCAAAGGCATTTAAACCAGTGTGGGTCTGATGGCATTGAGACAACTATATAGAATGTCTTAATACTAAAATGTTAGTGTCTCATATTTGTAGTACATGTATTTAACATGAAACTGGTGGACTTAAACACTTTTAGATTTATTTTAAGTATAATAGTATTTATGATGATTTGTAAATATGAGTTAAGAAAAACAAAGAATTATTGTTTACTTTTACTAAATCATTTTTATGATTCATAATATCTATTTATCATTGTAATGTTAATACAAGTTTTGGGCCTTTCATAACACATTATCACATTTTATTCATCAAATTATTAATGTGTTTGTTTTGATATCATATATACTTTGGTGAATATTATTTACTATTCTTTATCTCATTTCTAAGGAAATGGCAATTTTCACCTGTTGATATATTTAGCACTGTTTGTCAGTCATGTGGTCGTCAGTCATGTTATCATCATTGTAGCTTTATGACAGTTTTAACACAGTGTGATGTTTCTGTTGATAGCTGATTCACAGCAACTGCAGATCTCCATGCCAATATCGGCAGACATCCCTGTAAGTGAAGACGATCAGACCAACCACACCTCAACTCTCGCGCAGTCACTGAAGAACTGGAGTCACAGCACACATCTCAGAGAGCGGCACCGGACAGGACCATGGACGACGACTACCAGAGAGGAGGCGGCTGCGACAGCGCCGAGACGAAGGAGTATCAGGATGAGTTGTTGGTCGGCAGGACCCTGAAGAGCTCAAGCAGTGGCGCCGACATAACTGTGGGTTGGAAAAAGAGGACGGGACAACGGATCAAGTGGAGATTGATGATGTTGAAGAGGGTGAGGCAGCAGCGGAACCACCTGAGAGTGGTGAGGACATAGAACACATAGAACAACTAGATTATTTAGAACTCCAGAGTCAGAATATATAGAATCAGAATGTATGAGGCACGGTGGGCGAGCTGGCTAAGGCGCCAGGCTAGTGATCCAGCGAGGTTGAGGTGTAGGGATCGAGCCCACCTCTGACCGGGTAGAACCTTGGAGTCAACATTGTGTGCAGACTCGTTCCATGTTGTCACAACCCCTAGTGTACAGTACACAACCCTGTGCACTTAAACAGAAACCAATGAATCCGTTGGTATATGACCAGATAGTGGCCATATGAATACGTGCAAACACCTAGTTGCGGGTACAGCAACGTGCAGTGAACATGGACAAAGTACTGTGACTATGTGTCTCAGTCCACCCAGCTGTAAAAGGGTATCTCGTTAGGATTAAAGGCCACAATAACTCGATGCGCCTAGTGGCTGCAAGAGTTGTATACTCCCCAGGGAGTTGAAATTGATAATGTGATGTGCCTTTGAGATTGACATCCAATGATCGAGGGAAAACATACCAGCGCCTTGAGCATGCACTAGTGCGTGGATATGTGCGCTATATAAATATCCTATAATAATAAACCTGGAGTTAGAGAACACCTAAAGTTAGAATATATATAGCGCCTAAAGTGACATTATATACCACATCGAAAGTGAGAGTTTTTTTAACACCAAGACAGATTGGTATATAACACCTAGAGTGAGATTATATAGAACATCTGGAGTGAGATTATATAGAACTTCTGGAGTGAGTATCTAGACCACAAGTGAGTGAGAATATATACAACATATTGAGAGGTACATATGACACTTAGAGTGAGCATATATGCAACTCCTAGAATGAGAGTATATGCCACGCTCAGCAATATTCCAACTTTATGGTGGTATCTGTAAATAATCAAGTCTGGACCAGACAATCCAGTGATCAACAGTATGAGCATTGATCTGCGTAAATGGGGTTATGATGACATGTGTCAACCAAGTCAGCAAGTCTGACCACCCACCAATTACCCAACAAACATGGGTTGCTGAAGACCAATTCTAACCCAGATCTTCATGGGTAACCCGAAATAGTGTGTAAGAGTAAACTGCTGGCTGAATATGGGGGACTTGCTGCTTGAAGTAGACAGGCAAGAGGAGCAACTGTTTGACTATGAATGATGTTTCGTTTTCAGAGTCTCCCAAAGGAAATGTGAGGAAAGCGTCAATAGCTGACAAACTCGTCAAGACTAAACAGTCAGAAGCCATGATAGCAACACTCAAGGTAATATTGTAGATGCGTGTGGGATGGATATGGACAACAAAAATAATTTATAATCTGAGTCTAAGCCAGACAAACTGGTGGTTGATAGAATGAATAGTCATCCATACCCTCCATGTAATGATACACAATGTGCTAAATGTCATTGTAAAGACCTAGTAGTTGGTTATATCAGCTCTAATGCACAGGGGGCGGTGGGGTAGCCTAGTGGTTAAAGTGTTCGCTCATCGCGCCGAAGGCCTGGGTTCAATTCCCCACATGGGTACAGTGTGTGAAGCCCATTTCTGGTGTCCCCACGCGGTGATGTTGCTGGAATATTGCTAAAAGTGGCGTTAAACCATACTCATCACTCACTTATGCACAGGACAGGGTTCAAGAGGACCTCCTACTCAAAACACAGAGGAGTTAATGCCTGTTAATGCACATCTGTCTGTATCCATGTATGGGTCATGTTTGATGTGAAGATCTCTACTGGGTACTTGTGCTGGCAGATGATGTATTGTGATTTGTATAGTATACGTAGTAAGGACAGTTTTTTAGGTTGATGCATCTTTGGATTTGATAATGCTGACCTGTTTAACTGTTTGTTGATACTTGTCTGTCATTATATTTGTATTTTCTGTTTGTAGGAGAATGCAGAGCAGCGACAAAAGGATTTCCAGAAACTGTTAAATGAACATGCAGAGATTGTGCAGGAGATAGGGCGTACAGCCAGTTCAGAGAACCTGATCAGCCAAGCTGAACATGGAGAACGGGACCATTAACGCAGTTATCTCCCTTGGTTGAGGAGCAGACGTCATTTTGAGGGAGCAGAAGGCAAATGTTTACAAGCCAAGTGAAACCATATTGTTTAACTGACCATTGAATGCCAATCAACTCTACAATGGACCACAGTTATGAACAAAGTGGATACTGGGTGATCTTTTGGTTCATATCCCCAATGTTGGATATATCTTGAGGTATATTGAACATGGGTCTTCCAAAACAACATCATTACAAGACATTGGACACTCACATTGTGGATATCTTGGTGAATACGAACATTTATACGCCAGAAATGATATCAGGATATGTATATTTATATAGCGTTGGAATAGGTGTATGTGAACATTTATATTCCAGTATATGGTTTTGAGGAATACGAACATTTAACTGGGTTTATTACCAGCACCAATAGAATCCTACTCGAGTACACAGAATTTAATGATGTTTGTTACACTGGGTTGAAAGGGAATGGATGTGGAGACTGAATGAATATATCAAATTGAAATGCTTCTCTTTCCAATGATTTAGAAGATGACCGGTGATCAGTTTGGTTTTAAAATTATGGCCAAAAAAAAAAGAATTCAATTGTAAAAAAACATTCTTTAAAAAAAATGACATTGCTTTGGGTTGGTGTTTATATCTATATTTGAACTAAAATGTGTATGTACTTCCAGACATGAAACACATTTCACTTCTTTTCCATATTTCAAATATAAGATTATCCTTGTCATATTGTGAAGTTTCTGTTTTAAAATCACTTAATGCAGAAAATAGGTAAATTTTATGAAACTTCATCTTTTGATCTTTCAGTTGTCAAAAAACCCTTCATCGTAAACTTGCATTTAATGATGAGGTGGAGGGAGGTACTCAAATTTAAGGCCAAAATATTAACAATAACTGGTTCACAGATAATGATGATTAAATGTACATTTTGGTCACAGTTGGTACATATTACTGTTTTAGCCATCAGCCTATTACTGTTCCATGATGACATATGGTTTAGAATCAAGAAACTTGAAAACATTCTCAGCATCTTAGCACAGGCAGCCAGATACCGATATCCTTGCCATGACAATAGAAGTTCATGAAAACATTGGTAGATGTCATACATGCATGTTGTTCTAGATATTTTCTGATCTCATGTAATGGGGTAAAAATCAATAATATCACTTTAAATCTATATCTCTTTTTCACAAGATCAGGAAAATAGAAGTCTTGTATTCCACTTGTTCTTGGTGGAAAATCATGCAAGCAATTCTGATTTAGTGAAACATTTTCGTTTTATGGTCAGAATGTGTTGTGAATGTTAGATGAGAATGTTGTTAGTTTAGCTCATGCACAGATGACGATGCTCTTTGCATGATGTGCCACAAAGGACTAGACCTACTTTATCATATAATTGTCTAATATGATAGTTTTTCACATAAATATATATTTCAGAGGTGTAATGGATCATGATGCAATACCGTGAAAGGTGAAATGTCATTTTCAGGAAGAATAATTCTTGATTTAAACCAAAGTATGTTTGGACAGTGTGAACCATGTTGAATATTTGTCTGGTTTTCAAAACCTCAATCTACTTTAATATAAATATACTACTTTAATATAAATATACAATCAAAGTAATCTGGGCTGTCATGTGTTTATTAATTGTTCTGAAATGCTAAGTTGTTTGGTTAATTTAACAGAAATTAATAGGTTGTTCAAGTAAATATGTACTTGTTAATGTCCTTCAGCATTGCAACTTTTTGATATATACCATTTAGGTACTATTTTCCAAAGGACATATATATATATAGTTAGATTTGAATATGCATAATCTAGTTTCACATAATTTAAGCACAACTGGATGTGTAATGTTGAAAACTGTGTTATTGTAGGGTAAAACATAATATGATTGAAGTAATTTGTAGTACTCTTCATTGAGTAAGTACATAGTCAACAATAAGTCAGTATATTTAGTTTTCATCTTAGTAGCATTGTGATTGTTTATTTTGTTCATTCCATTACAACACATATTGTTTTCCTTTGCAAAAGTCTACAGAGGTGTCTATATTCCAGGAATTCATATTTTGTTTGCCCCAAAACAGAAAAATAAAATATAATGCATATCATCTGGTTTTTCCATTGAATGAGTATGGCTACCTTATGTTTCTTCTCTACAGTGGTTAGCTGAGGGGAAAAGCTACTAGCATGTACATATCTGCTAAAACCAATCAAAGGACAGTCAGTCTTAAGGACAGTTCAGTTCTTGTTCTTTTTGTTGGAATGTCTGGGTCAATTCATAATGAAACAGGAGACAAGTGAGACAACAGGTGACTTTATTGAATGAATTTTATTACAAAGAAAAAGAAAACTCAGTGCAAGCTTGCTTTCTCTTATACAAGGAGTTTTGTGTGCTGCCTTTGTTTTTTAAGTTTTCAAAAGTTAGAAAGGTTTATCTATCAAGCAATAATTATTTTTAGCCATTTTTGTTCATCATGTAATTTCTGTTAATTAAGCCTTCTGACTGAATTACATTTGCTCTAGGTGGTAATTTGGATTGAGAAAATTATAGAGAGTGTTTGAACTTACTATGAATCGTCTTCAAACATAATTATGTTTGAATGCTGTTTTAGATTGGATTGATGGTGTAAGTTTTTGCTGTCTCGTCATTAAATAATTAGAGAAAGCATTATGTATAAAAATATACACCTGTGAACAGCTAATGCGTCCCTCGCAATATGATTCCATATAGAACAGACATATTTGTAAATTGCACGCTGTATATTTTTTTAATGTAAAAAATTGATTTTGTTTACAAAGAAACATACTTATATTGAAATGATTAAAATGAAATGGATTATGTTAGGACGTGTTCTTTAACTTCACCATGGCAATAGTTATTGACTAACACCTTCAACTGCATCCCGAACTACTTTGCATAATAAGTTCCTTGGTTAGCCCAGTGGTTAAAGTGTTCGATTGTCCCACCAAAGTCCAAGGTTGATTCCCCGAATGGGTACAATGTGTGAAGCATTGTGTAGGATGTTGTTGTATTGCTCTGAAACCATACCCATTCTCTCTTTTACCTTATAAAAGGATCTGTGACCATTTTGAGAAACATACAGAGTTGTATGTGTAAGTTGGACATTACACAAAGTGAGATCTCTCACATGTGTACATATTCCCTTAAATACACACGGAAGATTGGACTATATATAGAATCTCGCCCAAGTGTCTTCTGAGATAAAGAATGTCAAGATTAGCTGATGAAAAGAACAAATGTTTCAGACTTGCCAAGGGTATTTTACTTTTATCAGCAAGTCCGTGAGATTCTGTTTATCATCCAGAGTCCTTCTTCTAACTTTACCTGTGTGTAAGGGCATCATATTTTTTTGTGTTTCACGTAGCCACCAAATTCTGAACACAGGTTGGTCGGGGGAAAACAGAAAAAGAATATACTTAATAAAGACAAAATTTTCTGAAAAATGTTCTTGATTCTCATTTATTGTAATTCTTATTACAATTTCTCGCGTTCTTTGGACTTGTGACAGCAACTGATTATAAGATAACCATTTTATATATAATGAGGCAGTTTTAGGTTTTAGGGCGATGAGAAACACAAAATATATAAATGCTGCTCTAAGCAGTTAGAACCAGTGTAGTATAAATAGAACAGCTCCAGCTTCAGTGTCAGATTAGTGATGTCATTTTGATTGTGACATCATGGCAACTGATGACATCACAATGGTCTCCAAAGTATTGTGATCCATTTTCATTGTAGTGATATCTCCTTGTAGTTATCTCCTGATCTCACCCAGGTCATATCTTATGTACAAGCCTACTTTGTACTCATGGAAATCTGGGTTAGAATTGATCTTCAGCAACCCAACTAGACCGGGTGGTCAGCAGGCTAAATGAGTTGGTTGATACGTGTCATATCCCACCTGCATAGATCAATGATGATGATGTCATTTACTATATTGTCTTGTCCAGACTCGATTATTTACAGACAACTTTCAGATAGATGGAATATTACTGAGTGCGGCTTTTAACAACAAACACACAGCTTTGGAAGATATTGAAGTAAAAAAATGGGTGTCTCTTACTTGTTTCAAGGTCAATATGTACAGAGAAACATATCAACTAAGTAATAGAAGGTGTGTGTTTATAGGCATACAGCTATATGTAGTCTCTAGGAAGATAGTATGTTGTTACTATGGTGATACACATAATGTACATGAATTTCATCTAGCTCGTCTTAATGAGTAGCATGATTAGTGAGATACATTAAGATATGGATAGAACTTTCTTGTGTAAATAGTAATGTTTAAAAGGAATTTCTTATCTTCACTTGGTTTAAATGTGCCCAATTTCACAAATGTGAAATGAACTTATTTTCTTCATCCCAAGTCTGTTAACTATGGTTAGTGATTTGTTCTTTAATATTGTCAATAAGTGATTGAAAGTACTTCTTAAACCTATCATTTCAAACAAACATTTTCAGTCCTTTTTCTCCAATTTCTTTGAATCTCACATATGGGGAAACTCTGAAGAATTGGTTATGAATGTAGCATTCCAATCACAACTATGGTGTAGGAAAGGGGGTGATATAGCAATGCTTAATAAGAAATAGGGAGAGTCATACATAACTGATGAAACCATCATCTCTCATGTGTTGAGCGGAGTTGAAAAATTGTCAGACGTTTCTGGAGCCTGTCAAATAAAGGTTCAAGTTGGATTTTCTGAAGGAAGAATGTATTTGACATTTTTATGATGACAGCATGACCCAAAGTTGATGCAGTTGAAAAAGGCATGAAAGATATCTCCTTCACATAGACATGTTACAGGGGATGATTCAGGAACCTTAGATGACTACACTTCTGAACTTTTGACTATGTGATAATGTGGACTTCAAGAAAACATAAGCATCCTTGGCACCGATGTACCATAAACCAACATATAAAGCATCATTTGTTTATTCCATAGTTCTTTTAATGGTTCCAGCGGGAAACATGTACTTCCATGTGAGAGATTGTGGTTATGTATCTACTGTTTGTATCAGGTCCGGATACCTGAAGGCCCTGGTGGTGGCAGATCTTCTTTGTTGCAAATCCTGGATGTGAAAGGTATTGACAACAGGTGGTAGCAGGTCCTCATCATTACTGGGGCTGGCTGTTCCTCTTCTGCACAGCCTGTCAGAGTTCTTCTTGTCGAAGGATACATAGTTGCAAAACCTGATGGTTGAAGATCCTGTGGTAGATGCTCCTTGTGGTAGGTGATCCCATCGTGGAAGGACCTTCATTGTACCAGGTTCTAATGGTAGATGGGTCCATCATAAATTGTCCTGGTAGTAGCAGGTGCTTGTGTAGAAGGTCCTGAATTGTACCAGGTTCTAATGGTAGATGGGTCCATGATAAACAGTCCTGGTAGTAGCAGGTGCTTGTGTAGAAGGTCCTGAATTGTACCAGGTCCATGTGGTAGACTGTACTTTGATAAACAGTCAACAGTAGTAGGTCAGTGTGGTCAACAGTTCCATTGTAGAGGGTCCTGGTCATAGCAGGTCCTTTGGTTGTAGGTCCTGGTGGCAGTAGGTCCAGGTGAACTGGATCAGTCACAGCAGAACAGAGGGCGTTATGCAGATTATTTATGTGTATATATTAAAGATTTCTTAAATTAAAATCAAAATATTTATTGTCCTTTTTTCATTGAGAAGATTGATACATGCCATTATGAAACTTGCAGTAAAGCTGTTTATCCTCATTTCAAGTTTCTAGGATCTGAGAAAACATATTTTATCTCCTCGTCTTATTAGGTGAGCTGTAGACTGCTGACACCTGCTTCAGTTTAGTAACACATACCATTTGGAATTTACATCAAATATCAAATGAAAAAATCAATTGCTAGTTCTTTAATTTCTTTTGCACTGTTTAATTTCCTCAGCAATATTTCACATATTACAAAGTATTAGTAATATGAATTTTGTTCATGAGTACCAGTATGTATATTTTTAATAATAAGTGTAGGCCAAGCCCTCGTCTCTGTGGGAGTATGAGTGTTGTAGCGACAGCTGGCCTCCCCAACCTCTCTAGCAATAGACCCACTGTTCGTGGGAGATAGCTGTACATATTGTTGATGAAGATCATCTTGCCTTACATCAGTCCGCACTGTCCAGTGTAGTCAGTCACACCTCTTTGTTAAAAAATGTCAAAGAATTTCAGATTTTATCTGTGTCCTTGTTTGTGGTGTAATAGGAATGGTTTCTTGGTAGGTCTAACAACGCATATATGTCGGAGAAATCAAGGGGAATTCATATCAAATTCATGCTATTTCACTTCTTATTGATTTAGTTTGAACAAAGAAAATATACTGATGAAAAGAAAATAATCAGTGTCAGATTCTTATCAGATATTTTCACGACATAGGTACAGAAGTGCCAGGTTTTCATGGATGTGTATATAAGATGTCAGAGACTAAATAATCTCGATTACTCCACAAAAACAGATTAATCTGAGCAAAATAGGGGAAAAATTGAATGGATCAAAGAAAATCAGCTATGACACAAGAAATTTCAAACCATCTCCTGATTCCCTTTGACAAGTAACCTTAATTCTTTTCATCAGTATACATTGATAATTGATTGCTGTGATTTCATTTTCACTCAACACTACTAGTTACATCATTGTGATATCTCAAACTTATCATCTTATACTAAACTTGAAAGACAAATGTCCCAGTTTAAGTGCTGCTGTTTTTTAGTAAATACACTTTATACAGTGATTAACATTCAAAATTGATGGTACATCTTTTACAGGCTCATTCCATCCAGAACTTTGCAGAAATACTTGGCGAGATTTGTCTAGAGGATATTCTCAGATAACAAATGTCTCAGAAAACGAGTGAAGAGTAAGATCTTTTCAAAATGTTGACAGCATATGGTTACTTATGAGGTTCTTAAAAGTTGTTGAATATTTATGTTCACAGTAATGAATATTCATCATCTCATCTTTGAATACCCTTCAACAAACTACATTCTTTGTCTTCGCATGCTTAAATGACTTTTTCATAGAATAAGTGTAATCAGTTTATTTGATAACTATGCATTGTAAATGTTTGTTGAATTCTTGAAATTTTCATCCTGTGGTACACGTTGACGTGTACTCATGACTGACATTGCGACAGGACTGAATATTATAGGTTGGCAGCCTATGTGTGGCGAATATGTCTGTCATGTTTGTTATTTGCCCTGATTGAGCATATGTACTAGTGATTATATGCCTTATAAGGATGTCATATCAGTGAGAGATTCCACCTGGACATTTTGAGGTCATTTTTGACCTTGGCCTCAGGGTTATCAAGGTCATGCTTGCATTTTGATCTACTTTTTCATCTTGTATATACTTTCTTAGTACACATTTCCACTTTGTGTGAGATTTGGATTTTTCTTGGCACTACAAATTCAGACTTGTGTATCAGCATTGTTTTGGAAGCAGCATAATGCATTTGTGCTTAAGTTTCTTTTAAAAAAGTAATTATTACTTGTGACAAGAGGTATAACATTTGAAACACAATCTGAACTTGTATGCCTTTATGCTATTAAAGGGAGATAATCCAACATATTTTGAATATGTCTGCTTCTATTTTCAAATCAAATCTATGGCATCAATTCTTTTCCTGAATGAATGTCTTAAACGTTTTGGTCTTTTTTAACACATAAAGTCTTACAAAGAACTAAAATTTACTACTGTGAGTTGTCTCCCTTTATGGTTGTTGATGACCTTGACCTGTTGACCTCGATGTAGTTTCTACCATGTCCAGTCTGCTAGTGTACCAGATGATTGGAATATATGTGAGTACCTAGTTGTGTACATAGCCAGGATGTGTAAACTTTGAATGTTTTTGTCTTATATGACATGGTAACATATTTTTGTAAAAAAAAGATCAGGAATAAAAATTTTGTTTCATCCAATTTCATGTCATCATTGATTTGATTGTAGACACGGACTGTGAGTGAGAACGTTTCAACACCTACGTAATCAATAGCAATCGTCTGATTAAAAATAGTTTCAGAGTATATGTTCACATCTGGAGTGGCGGCAAGATGGACATCTAGTATTGTTAATCCATGTTGTTTACTTTGTATTCAGTATGGATAAATTCAGAAGATGTGAATGCACAGGTGCTTGTCTCATGAAGTGACCCAGCTCAGTAATATTGAAACTACAAACGAAAGACTTAAGATCAAGATTTATTGGTTTTCTATACTGAAGTGTCACTAAACCAACTGTACTCCCTTATGTTTGGTCTGTTGGTCATTGATGTAGAGATTGATTGATTGATTGATTGATTGATTGATTGCCATTTGACCCCACGCAATTGGGATACGATGACATGTGTCAACCAAGTCAGCAATCCTGACCACCCGACCCGTAAGTCCTCACTTTGGACAAGCATGGGTAACTGAAGACCAATTCTAACCCGGATCTTCACGGGTCTCATGTGTAGAGGGCAATACAGCAATCTTTAGAAGAGAGAAACAGACAGCAGATGACCCCACCCCTTTCAGATGGAGTACAGAGCCCACATGAGTGGTAAATTAAATACTGCTAAGGGATAAGTCAAATTAGTCAAATCTTTGAATGTAACTAAGTGATTTAAGGGTTCTTTGGAGTTCTGTATACTTTGAATTTTACATACCTACATAAGTACGTCAAATGAAAGGTTTGTAATATATACACATGGAAATACATATTGCAACATCATATATTTTTCATAGTATCAATATATTACCATTAACCATATGAAAACCTTTCTCTACTAAAAGTTCTATGGTCTTCAATAATGCTGACAATATTGATTGTTAGTGCTATGAGCCTACCTGGTGTGGAGTTTGGCACTATAGAAATGGACACATTATTATTATTATTATTATTATTATCTTTTCATATGTGTATGTTAACTGTCTAATTGTCACATACGCTGTAGGAACTACATTAATATATTTTCACTTTTAAGAGAGGCATTAATAGATACTTGCAGCATTCATGTATATCTGCGGTTTACATATGTCTGAGGGTTTCCGTCACAATGTCAGTGCATGGCTCTATGCTTGAGGACGTGAGATGGATGTATTTCGTCTGTCTGTGAAGCAGACATGTCATCTTGAACCAGATTTATACTTGGCTGAAGATTAAATATTACAGCGGGTTTGTTTGTTTGTTGTTTAACGCCACTCGCAGCAATATTCCAGCTATATGGTGGAGGTCTGTAAATAATCGAGTCTGGATCAGGCAATACGGTGACTGACATCGTGAGCATCGATCTACGCAATTGGGATATAATGGCATGCGTCTACCAAGTCAGCGAGCCCCACCACCAGACAAGCGCGTAGCAAGGCAATGTTTTGGTGTGAGCGGGATAGGTTGCAAAGCTTGATATTAGATAGTATTGAGAGCTTGCCCAGACTTTTTAGCAACAATCATGTGTAAGCCCGGGCTTTTTTACAATTGTAGCTACGCCCCTGTCAGATCAAGTCAGTCGCCTCTTTCAGGTAGAATTACATTTACTTAGCTCAAGCGCTGTGCAATATTTCAGTTATGTGACTGTTTAATGTGAGAGGAGAGCTTAAGGAGAAGCAGGATGCATACATATTCGACCTTGGTTAGATTCCATGACAAACCAAGGATCATATTTCTTTTGAACTCAATATCTGGAGAAAACAATTGAGAACCCCCGTGAGACATATTGGAATATTTCTAAAAGCACCTAAACCTAATATTAGATTGGTTAAAATATGATAATTTCACAGCATCAGTTGGGGTAATTCGCCATGCAGAGTTGTGTCCCCTGACCACGCCAGCATCCTATGATTGTAGGTTTCAACCCAAGTTCGCCCCGATTATGTTTCTACTTTGTCAGCGCCATACCAGTTCATCTAACAGTCCCTGAACCACATTATTTTCCTTACTGCCTAGCCTTCCCTGCAATGCTAAAGCCCTAAATGAAGCAAGTCTAGATTCCCTCAAGTTCAGGTCTGAATCTCCCAACTCACCTGGGCTCCTTTTCAATTTACATGGGATTATTTGTTACTATCAAACTTATACTGGGGCTCTTTTTCAATTTAAATGGGTTTATTTGTTACTATCAAAATTATATATATTCAGAGTCTAAGCGTTAGTTTAGCGCCCCACCTGTGCTTGTGTGTTTCACCAAAGTGATAAAGGCGTGAAACCTCCATCACATTATGATACAACAGGAAGATTCTTTGAGTGAGTGAGTGAGTGAGTTTAGTTTTACGCCACTTTTGGCAATATTCCAGCAATATCACGGCAGGGTACACCAGAAATGGGCTTCACACATTGTACCCATGTGGGGAATCGAACCCGGGTCTTCAGCGTGACGAGCGAAGATGACTCTTCGAAATAGACGTCTGTAAACAACATCTGCAGAACATCCTGCAGAACCTCGCCCAATATTACAGCACGTTGTAATGTTCGTACAACCACCACTACACACTGGTCATATCACATGAAACTGATCGTTGTATCAGTGCCAGCTCATGGCCCTATACTTTAGCATCGTGCTTAAGATCAAAGAATCGAAGAATAAAAGAACGTGTAGTGTCTTGGCAACATGTTGGGTTCTGTTTAAGACTCCGTCAGACATGAGAAGAAACATGCTTTTACAAAAGGCCTTGAAACGTTGAGACAAACCTTTTATTTGTTTGCTTGTGGTGTCGACGCCGCAAAAATACTTTTGGAATAAAGAAATCCATTTCTCTTGACGGAGATGTCTTTAATCTTTGTGGAACTGTTCCTGCAGTTCGATGACACATCATCAACAATGAAAGTGGTTGCAAGTGGTCTGTAACATTGAAGAATCTCCTCTCATACTGAGTGACAAAAGTAAGTGAACAAGTACGAGTACAGCCTGACTACGTCACTGCTACGATTAACCTTGTACGGGGACGTATGGTAGCAGAACAACCTGGATGGATGATCCAGACAATTTTTAATTCGAACGATTTTACTGGGAATTTAAGAAGAATTTAATATCCAACACCTGTTTTATCGATATATTCTCCTTATTTCCTTCCATATCAATATACACAAATATGACCGAAAAAAACACATGTTTGGTGGTTGCTAAAAATTAAACAACAAATGGTCCTATCAAGATGATATAATCCTTCCGGGTAATATATACTCTCCCAAAAAAGAAACACATCATGAAAATAGCAAGTTCATGTAGCAATGAATTAAAACGTGATTCATTTTACAAAAGGTTTTGTTCTGTTTATGAGTCCTATGGTGTTTATGTTATGAAACATCACAACACAACGCACCATCCGTAAAATACCCGTATTTAACAGCATGATTTTCAATTTCGGCGTGTAGTGTCATAGAATACACAATTCACATGCAAAGCACGTGAAAGTTGGGGATCAGATAGTCTCAATGATGGGTATAAAAGGTTGATCGCTGTCTGTCGATTATTCACTGTATTTTGAATATTTTTGACGAACGCAAAATGCCACGTCTAAGTGAAGCCAACTGTCATATCGCCATTGGTTTGCTTGAAGCTGACCAGTCTCAACGTGCAGTTGCCCGACGCATGAATGTTCACCAAAACACCATTTCACTGCTGTGGGAGAGATATGGCCGGCAGAATGCGGTAGCAGATGCCCCTCGTAGTGGGCGACCTCGGGAGCCCACTGCGGCGCAGGATCGATACATCCGGGTACATCACCTGCGTCATCGAACAGCTACGGCGACCAGTACCGCTCGACATATACTAGTACCCGGATTGAGGAGGCTTTCTGCACAGACCGCCAGGAACAGGTTGAGAGAGGCTGGTTTACATGCCAGAAGACCTTATTTTGGCCCTGTGCTTCGACAACAACATCGTCGACATCGAGTTCAATGGTGCACCAACGTTCAGGCCTGGAACCTACCGAATTGGCGTAGAATCTGGTTCAGTGATGAATCACGATTTCTATTGGAACGACGCGATGGAAGAATGCGGGTGTACAGACGTCGACGTGAACGTTTCGCCGACGCTTGCGTTCCCCAGGTGGACAGATTCGGCCGGGAAAGTGTTATGATGTGGGGAGCGATCACCTGCCGTAGGAGAAGTGATTTGGTGATGATCCAGGGCAACCTGACAGCTCAACGGTACTGTGACGAAATCCTATGCCCACACCTTCCAATCATTGATCGCCAGAGGGAGTTTTTTCAACAGGACAATGCCAGGCCCCACACAGCACGTCACACTAGAGACTTCCTCCAGAACCACAACACCAATGTGCTCCCCTGGCCCTCAAGATCACCGGACTTAAACCCGATCGAACATCTGTGGGATGCCCTGGACAGACGGGTGCGACGCCGTAACCCTCAACCCCAAACACTTCAGCAACTCGCACAGGCACTACAGGCAGAGTGGGCTGCGATTGGGCAACACGAGATTCTGAGACTTATTCGTTCGATGCCGAGGCGATGCCGTGCAGTTCTGGATGCCCACGGTGGTCACACGAGGCATTGACTTCAGCCCCACCACACGTCTCCATGTGACACTCAAATTGACTTTCCTCGAGTTGGTGCCAAAGACGGATAAGTCTGCATTCCCAGTGTGCAATTTTGCTATATTTCATTGACTCATAAATCCTACAAGATGTTTCAAAATAAACATAAAAATACAGTTGAAATTCCTATATGCGTTTCTTTTTTTGGGAGAGTATAGTTGTGTTTTGGTGAATATTTGCAGAATATTTACGATTTGATAATACTGATTTTGGGGGTTTGTCAGTTCCAATTTTCAAGATTAACTTTTTGTTGACAGTGTATGTTTCAGGTCGATGTCCAGCTTTTAATTGAATTCCAGGAGCTAGATTTTCGAAGCTCTCTTAGCGCTAAGATAGTCGTAAGTTAATGATAATTTATGGCACTTACGACTATCTTAGCGCTAA